TCCTTTGTCTCGTTTTACGCTATAGATCTATTAATTAACTGAGGTACGGTCGCCTGATGATATAATTAATTAGAATTAAGAAAGAAACGCAATAGGATAAAATCTAATCACAAAACGGAAATCAAATTTAGATTCAAATATCAAAATTTCATAAATTCATGAATAATAGTTCTCATAGCCCTAGCTATGGACTTAGTTACTCATGCTAAAGAAAAGAACCAAAACAATCATAAACAAAGTCATAATCGAAAGAAATAGCAAACTAGAGTGTGAGATGTGTTCCCGGTCTTCAAGTACGATCGCTTGAAGCTCCAAGTCTCGCCAAGCATGTGCCAAGGATCCCATGTAAGAGAGATGAGATCAGATGTATTCTAAAGCCAAAGCCAAGATGTAAAAACAGTCCCTTTACAATGCCTGAGATCTTCCCTTTTATAGGATTTGAAAACCCTAAAAACTCTTCATAATTGAGCTTTCCACAGATGAGCACGACCGTGCATGGGCTCAAAGCACCCCCATGCTTATTGAATGAGTCTGAGCGTGCTGATTTCTACGAAACTGTAATCTTCCATCAATTTGGACCCATAATGCACCCAAAATCCACTTGCGGCCTCCTTATACCAAACTGCACAATTAATATATAAATTAGTGTAAAACCCAAATAAAATAAAGGTCAAATATAAATATATGGGCTGCAAAAGAGAGCTTAATTACAGACTTATCACATAATAATCAATAACAAACTCATGGAAACTTCTTAAAAATTGGTTTTATTTATAACTTTTACTATGAAATTTTGCTTAGGTAGTTTTGAAAACAATTCATAGGTTTTTCATGTCCACAAATCTATTTTAACACTGTAATTTTTAAGGTAACATTAGGGCTCTACCAATCAAAATAGGAAAGTTTCAGCTTTTAAGCTGAAAACACATAAATAGGAGTTAGTGTTTGGGATCAACTCCTATTACCTAGTAATAGGTCGCTAAGATCAAGTTCTTTGTGAGATTCAGAGGAAAGTGCAACATTTTGATGGAAGATACTATCCAAAAGATCAAAGTTTTTCTTGAGATCGAAAGGAATAAGCATTCAAGTTCCTATTTTTGAAAGAGATTCGGAGTTTGGGGAAGGAAGAGTGAGATAACATAGAGAAATGAGAGAGGAGGTTGTTTGGCTTGCAATACAAGTTCTAAAACTTGAAGTTCCTTAAATACCCTTTTAAATTCACACATTCTCACTTAAGCAAGAAGCATTCTTGCCTGGGTGAGAATACCAGAAGAAAATATCTTCTCCATTTATGATAATCTCGCTTGGGCAAGATCCCTTCTCACCTTAGCGAGACTTGGTCAATAGAGCTTCCACTTTCTCTTGTGCCTTCTCGCTTGAGCGAGTCACTTCTCATTTGGGCGAGAAGACAGTTGAGATGACATTATCTGCTCTAACTTGAGCAAGAGTGCCCTAAAATGCCTGGTCCAAAAATTATTGTATCGCTTGAGCGAGTCACTTCTCATTTGGGCGAGAAGATAGTTGAGGCGACATTATCTGCTTTAACTTGAGCAAGAGTGCCCTAGAATGCCTTGTCCAAAAAATCTTGTTTCGCTTGAGCGAGACATCTTACACCAAACTTCTTCTTTTCAAAAGCAAGGTAATAAAATGAGGGTGTTACACATAGGAGACCCAAGACAGTGTCATTTTTCACATGCCATTGTAGGATTCCTCCCTCCTCTCTTTTGACCACCATCCTTGTTTTTAACCACTATTTTTGCTCTTATTCTGGGCTTAAAGTTTGTTGCTTTGGGAAGGGATTCAAAATCAAGGTTTTCAAAGGCTCAATTCTAGGAATTTGAGGTTTTGAAAAAAGGTTTCTTTGATTTAGGGGACTTGTTGTTCAAGGTGAAAGCACGAATAGCAGTGAAAACATAAAAGCAGAAGAGCCAAAATCAAGGTTTTCAAAGGCTCAATTCTAGGAATTTGAGGTTTTGAAAAAGGGTTTCTTTGATTTAGGGGACTTGTTGTTCAAGGTGAAAGCACAAATAGCAGTGAAAATATAAAAGCAGAAGAGCCAAAATCAAGATTTTCAAAGGCTCAATTCTAAGAATTTGAGGTTTTGAAAAAGGGTTTCTTTGATTTAGAGGACTTATTCAAAGTGAAAGCACAAATAGCAGTGAAAATATAAAAGCAGAAGAGCCAAAATCAAGGTTTTCAAAGGCTCAATTCTAGGAATTTGAGGTTTTGAAAAAGGGTTTCTTTGATTTAGGGGACTTGTTGTTCAAGGTGAAAGCATAAATAGCAGTGAAAATAAAAGCAGAAGAGCCAAAAAGACCAAAACAACAATATCAACAACAACGTGAGTAGCAAATTTGTTGTCACAAGATATCTCCAAGAGGATCTCGATGACATTGACTATGAAAAGGACGACGGAGAGATAGTCCACAAAGGACTCAATAGCTGTGCCTTGAGGTTGATGTGGGTTATGAAGACCTCATCTACTTCAAGCTTCAACCATGGAAACAGGCCAGGCTGCTTGACAGGGACCTGTGGCCTGACCTGGTTTAGGCATGACTTGGCCTTTTTAATAAACAAACCAGTCTTAGGCTTTTTTTAAGGCCTGTTTAAGTAAATAAGACAGACCTAAGCTGTTTATAAAGCCTGTTAAGCTGACAAGCAACCTGTATAAATATATATATATATATATATATATATATATATATATATATAATTTAAAAATAGAGCTGTCAAAATATATTTAAATAATAGTTATTTAATAATATATTTTTTATATTCTTAATTCTGTTATTATTAAATTAATATATTATGTTATAATTTTATTTATTTATAATTATAATAAAAAAAATTATATTCTATTAAAAATTAAAATTGTTTATACATGATTACACTTTTTAAATAATAAATTATTATATTTAAACAATTTAAAGAATAGTTAAGTCTTTGAACAGAAATGAGACGTAATCAAAATTAAATGAAATAAAATTTAAAAATAAAATAATAAAATTATATTAACATATTTTTTATACTCTTAATTTTATTATTATTAATTTAATTATTTAATTATCATATAAATATATTACGTTATAATTCTTTTTATTTATAATATATAGAAATTGCTGAAATCTGAATTATATTTTATTTGAAAGTAAAAATTTATAAAAAAAATGATAACAAAATAAAATAAAAAACTTATTATAATATATATTAATATATATATATATATATATATATATATATAATCAGACCATGTAGCAAATAATATAATTATAAAAAAATTATATAATAATATATATTTTTGTAACTTGCACGTGTTTTAATTAAATTATTAGTTAATTTCTCAATTTATATGTAATATATAAATATATGTTTTAATTTATTGTATCAGTAATATTTTTTATATTACATTAATGTTATAATGTAGTTAATTTTACGTTTATTTGTTAATTTAATATAATTAATTAATGAAACAAATAAAATTAAATATTTTGTAATTATTTTTTTAATTTAATAGTTATTATTATTGTCATTATATATATATATATATATATATATATATTGCATTAAGTTTAAATTTATTTATTTTTTAAAATATAATAATTTTCTTTTAATTGATTCAACAAATTGTGTGAATGTTATTTTTGTTTTATTAATTTTATGTGTTTACGATAACTTTATTTGTTGAATATAAGATGTCTTTAAACAAACAAAATATGTTTCTAAAATAAAACTAAAATATTTACTATTTATATAAATTTTAAAAATAAATCAAGAAAAATATAAATATAAATTTTATTAATATAAAATATTTATAATTAATACTTAAATAATATTTTAAAAATTATTTATAAAATTATATAAATATTATTATAATTATTTAATAAGTATTAATAACATAGATAGAAATTAAAAAGCATATAAACTAATTTGATAATAAAATATTTATATTTTTATTAATATTAATTATTTTTTGAATCAGGCTTTGTTAACAAGCTTCAGGCCAGGCCACTTAAACAGGTCAGGTCAGACCTAAAATAATGCCTTTAACACAGGTTAGATTCAAGCCTAATAATTATGTTACAGGACAGACCTGTTTATAGTAAAGTCTGGCCTAACCTGATCTGTTTCCATCCCTAACCACCAGAGACAGAAGAAGAAGAAGAAGCTCAAAGTGTCGTAGTTTCTCTTTGCAATTATTAAAATTTCAAAATAACATAATTTAGAAACTGTTTTACAAATACTGATTTTATATAATAAAATATTTAAAATAATAATAACGTGATAACGATGAATTATACTTCAGTTGTCTAACTCATTTCTTAACAACTATAGATATGTTATCTAACTCATTTCTTAACCACTACAGATAGCCAGAACTAAATCTTTACATTTTAAAAATTGTCATAGACTAGATATTAATAATTTTTGCTAAAGACTTATGTTAAAAATTGTTATTTTTATAGAGACAAAATATAATTAATCCTAAATTAAATAAATAAACTAATCTATTGTGAATTATTTTTTTATATATAATATTTAAAAATAATATATATTGAAATATAGTATTTTTTAAAAATTATAAAAATACAGTGTTTAAAAATCAGAGTTGACGATCTTTAATGTAAATACAAAAATTTAAAGATAAATGAAGAAAAAAGTGATAAAGTCTCAAAAATTGTCAATTAAAATTTTTTAAAAAATTAAAAAAATTAAAATTTGCTAATAAATATTTTTAAGGTAATAATAAAATATTTGAGAAGTACTAAACTGTCAAAAATCACTCTAACCATTTTTGAAAAAAATATTAATATAATTTTACCAACAAATCCATATTTCTATAATTATAAAAAAAAAAAAAAACATAGAAATAGAGCCACCTGCAGCTAATCAAATACTCTCGGCAACGCATATTGCATATTTTATCCGAACAAGGTACAGGGCCTTGTACATTTACATTTACAGGCATTTTAAATTTGAAGACCATAATCCAGAGAGTTGCGTTCGTCTCGTGATTTCCAGTTTTCCTTTCGGCCCTTTTTGTTTCCTTTCTGCTGCCAAAGAAAAGAAAAAAGTTTTCGCGCCAAAATCCAATTTGGATTACTCTCTCAAATTATTCGCGTCTCTTGTTCCTACAATTCCTCGATCTGCATTCCAATCTTTATTAGGTACTGCGTTTTTTAAAAATTGTTCTCACTGTTCCGCAATGTTCGTTCTCGACGGAGAATAAAGTTCTCGAAAACCTGTGATCGCCTAAATTTATTTCCGATTTTAGTTATTTGATGCTTAAATTCGTGAAAATTTTGGAAAACGAAACACAAGTAGAATTTATGATGCGTTGCGTAAGGTCGTGGATTTGGCTTAGTTGAAGGAATTTCGTTGAAGTTACATGTATTTGAAATTCTGGTTCTGGGAGTTATCGTGTTACTGAAAAAATTTTATTGTTGTCAATTATGAACGAAATATGATGTGTAGTCAATTGAGTTGTTGTAACTGCTTTTGCGTATGTTACCTCTAGCAATAGGTCATATAATCCTGTTTTCCTCCCTACTTTGTTTTATTGTGAACATTATGGTAATGGATAAAAGATTTGTTGATGATGCAATGGTAGAGATGTATATTCATTGCATTTTCACTTTTGTTTTTGTTCATCCATTTTTGTCACATTCCATGGTGGAGTACAGGCATTATGAAATGCTTTTATTTTGATCTTAATTCATGTTTTAATCTTCCTTGGTACTGCAAATATTTGATTCATGGGAATATCGAACTTTATTGGAAGTTGGAGGTGCTGATTAGAGGAAAGCGATTTGTTGCTTTCTGTTTTATTCATAATGAAAGTGCAAATCGGTTTCACAGAGGAAGTGAGAGCAGCAGTTAGCATTCAGGGTTTGTGTGTGTCAAACAGATAGGGAAGACTGAATTAGTTTATACAACTTAATAGTACTGTTGTGTTTCTGAAATTTTATAGACAACCACATGTTTGTCAGATCATTGTTCAGAGAAGCATCGGGTAGTGATCTAAAATTATTGTTGAAATTTTTCTGCCTTTTTAAAGATTTCAAAAGCTTGTTATTTTCTTATTTTATAATGTATCAATGTTTATCTAGTGGCAATTGTTTATAATGATATATTTTGACATTCTCACTTAAAGTTGTCGTGTTGTTTTAATAGCACATTTTCCATATATATTAACTAATCTATGAATTCAATATTGATCTACTCAATCTTTAAATCTTATTGTATTCAACTTTTTTACTTTTAAGTGAGAAGCAAGTAGCTTGTTTAGTAGTAGGACAACTGTATTGGTTATCATTGTTATTGTAGTTATTATGTTGAAGTAGATTATGCCTGCCGCTTGAGTATATATGCTTGCTCTTTTGCCTCTCTCTGTCTTTGAGTAAATCCGGTAATCTCATTGATGAAACTTTATAGGAACTGAATGATATAAAAGGAGACAATCTTATTGATGAAACCAAACGTGGTGAGCCTAAGCTCTTACAAAGGAAAAAACCAGAGCCAAGGCTCCTCAGAGAATTAGTATTCTCTGTCCCACAACAACCAAAAAGCAATTTCTTCTTCTCTCTCCTTTCTCCCCTTCCTCCTAATAAGCATACTGTATGGTGTAACCAATTGGCCAGCTCAGCAACATGTAACTAACTCTCACCCCTGACACACTTCTCTTTCCATAGTTTGGGCTTCTGAATTGAGCCCACCAGCTGATCCATGTCTTGTACTGCTTCATGATCCACGTTACTCTATTTGGCACTCTATCAAAACTTGATGCACGATTTTATCTTGCAGGTATCGCTATTCGACCTGTAGACATGTATGGTTAATATTAGACAGCTGCAATGAGATGCAATGCATGCTGGCGAGAAGTAGAAGGGCGAGCAATTTCCACAACATGTGGTCACCTATTGTGTATCCAGCTACCAGCATTTTTACCATGAGTTCCTCCTTTCTTAATAAATATAATCAACACAGTTCATATCAAATTAGGTTGAATTTTCTTTACATTCTTTCATTGAAGTGGCTGTTTTATATATATCTGCTTTCCTTAACACAGTTAAAACTTTAAAAGGCACAGATGATGCCAATAAGATATTAAGTAATGATGGAGCATGCCCTATTTGTGATCAAGTCCTTTCAAAGAGGTATGGATTTGATAGGGATTTCATTATTCACCAGATACAATACTTATTAAAACAGTAATTTAATGGTACTATCATCGCACAGCAATTTGTACTTATATTAGCTGTGGCGATTCTTTCATTTATTCTAAATTGTGTTGTCAATTTTAAGCTTCATGGATTTAATACTGAATAAAATGGTCATTTGGTGGCACTAATATTTCCTCAATAATTTGTACCTATACTTGTGCCATAATGTGATGCTTTTGTCATCATTTTTCAATTTTGGGTTGTCAATTTTAGACCTCATGGATTACAGATTCATGTATTAATTTATACATTTCTCCTCTTAGCAGTCTCATGAAACCTGTCGATGTCAATCCCAATGATGAATGGATAAATGTAAGTAAACATTCTCATGTAAAACTAACAACTTAGTGCATACGCTAAGATAGTTTCTGAAATTTGATGAATTTCATCCTGCTAGAGCCCCTTTCTTGATTTCCACTAGTTTTGCTGCCAATTTTTGTGATGTTTTTTGTTACAGATGGCCATGGCGGGAGTATCTCCGCAGATATGTATCCTTTATTCCCATTGTTTAGTGGTAGAACTACATACAAATGCGAAACTAATGTTATATGTTTTATCCCTTTATACTATCTGGGGGTCTGATTATCATAAATGAAATGCATATTCTGAAATTCAAAAATTTAAAAAGGTGTATTGGACCTTGCGTTTTTACCTGAGCAACTATAGTGATGAAAAGTGCATATAGAAGTGTGATGTTCTACATTGGGCAAAAAGAACTGGAGATGCAGTTTAAGATGAACAGGATTGTTGCTCAATGCCGGCAGAAATGTGAGATGATGCAAGAGAAGTTTACAGAAAAACTAGAGCAGGTGCATACTGCTTACCAAAAGATGGCCAAGAAGTGCCAGATGATGCAACAGGAAATTGAGAGCTTAACCAAGGACAATCAAGAACTTCAGGAAAAGTTCGCTGAAAAATCCCGGTCAGTGTCAATCATTTTTTCCTGCTTAAACAAATTATATCCCATTGTGGATGCCTTCAACTTATTTCAACTTCAGGCAGAAGAGAAAATTGGATGAAATGTATGACCAACTGAGGAATGAGTTTGAATCCGCAAAGCGATCTGCCATACAGCCTGCAAGCAACTTTTACTCCAGAAATGAGCCTGATTTGTTCTCTAACCCACCTAACATAATGGATGATAGAGAAATTGGCAGAAAAGGTATTCCTTTGTTTTCAAGGGTCAGAGGATACCACTTTTTAGAATCAATAGAAAGCGTTTTATGATATATTAAAGTTCCGGTTAACTTTAAAAGCAAATTAAGTATCAATCATTTAAACAAAATAGTCAGAACATGGACTGTATGAGCTTGTTTCCGCTTATATATTTCCAAAAGTAGATAACTTATTTGTTACAGGTCGGCCGGTATTCACTCCTGCCACTCCAGGACCAAGAGAGGATGTATGGCCAGCAAGGCAGAATAGCAATAACTCTGGCCACTTTGATCTCTCTGTTGGCTCACCAGCAAAACAGACAGTCATCGCAGGGGATGCTGGGAATAGAAGGGTTGGTGCTCACCCTGTTTTTGGATCTGGTGTTTCTAATAACCCATCGATGACTTTGAGGAACTTGATACTGTCTCCAATAAAGCGGCCTCAGCTCTCACGTAACCGACCCCAAATTTTCACGTGAGGAATAATCTCAAGTCTGCTAATTTTACTCTGCTGAACATTTCTGAATCTTTCATATATTTTGGTGTTTTCAGGTTGTAGGCACAAAGGAGGCTAATCTTCTATAATTCTAGTTAAGCTTTCTCGTTTGGTTCTGGCTTTAGTTTCTTTCTTCATTTTTTCATCCCTTGGTTGTTGTTTACATTGGGCAGGGAAAAACGAAGCTAAAGTTTGCACAAATGAATTGGTAGTCCGCATAATATGCTATGATATTTTAAACTTCCCTTTCTATTTCTGACCTACAAACTCTAATGGATAGAGAGCTGTTAACATGAACAGTGTATGTATCGTTTTTGTTGCCTAGCCTCAATCTGTACAAAGATAATTCCCAGCGTGATCAGAGAAAAATCAAAAGTGAGTACCCTTAAAACTTATCAAGTATGAAGCCACTGTTTCATTTGGTTTCTGTGAATACAGAAGAAAACGCGTCTTCTTTCTTACTTTTTTCTTGGCCTTGATTTCAGGGTCTTATTACTCAAACTATTGAAATTGACAAATTATTAACATGAACATTTTCAACCTTAAAAATGCTGTTTAGTGTTCTTATAGTGAGAGGATGTGCATGTCACATGATAACATGTATTTGATGTCAATCACCATCCGAGTTCAGCAGGCAAATGTTTCCAGTTATCAAAATTTGTATATTCCCCACTACAATCAGTGAAGAGTGTTATGTGGGAATAAAATCAGCAATTTATTTTGTTGTACTATCATGCCATTAATTTGATATTTTTTGCATGCAATTTTGACGATACTCACTGTACCATTTAATGCCGAGGTCCTTATGCTATTCGGTTGGAAACTTTAATTGATTTGAGCCTACAAACCGTGTTTTTGGTTTTACCTACGGCTCTTTGGAATCCAAAATTTCTTATTCCAATTTCCCTGGTTTGTTTTTGTGGCTTTGCTGGAAATGCCAATGCGAATGCACAAATGAAGAATTGTGAAAATAATAAGGAAGTTTGATGCAACATGCCCTGCTTTGTGCTGTTGATAGTATGTTTGATATTATCAAGTAACAAGATGGAATTACGAAGATGATACCAATGAGAATTGATTTAACGACCTTTGAATGGGATAATTTTCTTGGTCAACTTTTAAGCATTTACCAAAATAAATAAACATAATTTTTTCTACTGTAAGTCTGTAAAGCATTTCGTGCGTAATTAAACGTGTAATACAAAAGTAAAAAGTAAAAACTAAAAAGTATATGTTGAGACAAAAATATTCTTTTTATAAGACACAAATAATTAATTCATTAAGATTAATAAAAAATAATTTAATTTGTCTAATGCATGCCTAAACACTCACAATAAAATATTAATAGTAAGATTTTATTATAAATTGTACATTTAATGTTGTTGTATGGTTTTTAATGCATTAGATTATGTAATTTTTGTTACAACTTATTGTATGCCCTTAACTACCTGATAGAAAAATCGAAAGTACTTCTACGTATTCTAGAAATATTTATAGTATTGAATGATCAAATTGGTGAATGTTATATAGAAAAAAAAATCACCCTAAGAGTATAAAAAGAGTTTAGAAATTAATGCATAAAAAATAAGTGTGTATTTCAATAATGATGTAAGATTGTATGATCTTACAATTATCTACTTGAGCGATCTTGATATTAGAATTTGACAACATGGAATAGAAGTAGATGGAGATGTATGAAAATATAATACAAATATTGTCACAAAATAATAAGCTGTAAGGTTTATTGTTTGAAATATCATTTTGCATGAACATAAAAGAATGTTGGTATTTGCACTTTTGTTAGTGATGAAGTTAAAAAAAAAAAAGTGACAGATAGTATTCTCAATACAAAAAAAATCAATAAACAATTCAAACAACAACTTGTAAAAGGTGATGGTGGTGAAAAAAGGAAAGGACTTTAAATTGGAAACATTAAAAATATTTTTAAGAAGAAAAAATAAGTAGTCAAGTTACTCTAAATGTCATACCATTAATGTGGCAAGGAGTGAGCAATTTTAAAGATGGTGGAACCTATTGCAAAATATGGCCTTGGATTCAAGTCATCTTCCTTACATGAAATTAGAGCAAAAGTATTTGAAACACTATGTAAATTTGACAATGCAAACTATTGGAGCATAGAGAAGAATAAAAGAAAATGGGATGCACAATAATATAGATGGTTAGACTAACAAAAAGGTGACTAAATTGAATTTTTTCTTAACAAACGAATGGGTACAATATCTTAAATTCAATTGATGCATTTAGTATATCTAAAATAGTTGACAAATTGTTTAAGATGGTGGACGATGTTACTTTGACACTCTTACTACACACTTTATTATTATTATTATTATTATTATTATTATTATTATTTATAACTAATATTCAACATACCAAATAACAAGAATATCACACACACACGCATACGCAATCATGTTCAATAATATACATCATATACAAACTTTAAATCTTGTAAAATTAGATACACCAAAACATTGATAATAGTCATGATATCAATATCAACAATGTTGTACAATACTAAAATAAATATAAACGACAAACTAAAATCTAGGGCCTTGAGATGAGTTCCCATCATACTTGTAAGAGGGTACAATTTTCAAAAAGATATCAATTACCATGGGTGAAAATCAGAACTTATCTCACTTCTCTCTATCACCTAGAACCAACCTAGGAGGAGGCAAGCTTCAGTTAATCTCTTGTGTATAAAGGCTAAAGAACTAGAAGAGCTAAGGGAAGTAGTGTAACACCCTTCCTTCATATATATAAATAATTTGTATTTATAACTTATATTATTAAACATGATTAAGAAGGATTGGTAAAATTTGTACATCTTAAAGAAATGACACAATATGAGAATACAAATTCATATTTCTTGATAAATATACAAAATACCTCAATAAAAGATTTCTCTTGAAAAAAAATATGAATGAAAAGACATCAAAAGATTTATACATTTATTACATTAAATTTTATTATATCTGAGTAGTTTTTTTCCCACAATCCTTGTCGAGTATGACCCTAGAACGAATCATCCATCTCCATGTCTATTCTTTTATTACCTGAAAAACATCAGTAAAGGTGGTATTTCTCGCCCCACTAAATCTCTTTTAATGTAAATTAATTAATAGTAATTAGAGTTATAACTTAATATCCTATTTTAATTCATTATCAACAGTGTACAATTCATATTGACATTCCTCACATTCGAATACATACAATCATACAACTATCAACCATAGGATATACATAATTCATTCATTATACATGCATTTCTATATTGACCTATATATTATTATACATATATCATATCATTTCAATTAATATGTCACAATACATATGTCCCAGTAACACCCGTTGATGTACTACAACACATATATCATAACAACATAAATCGATCTGTTACGATACATATATCATAATCATACATATTCTATATCATATCCCATCTATAACATTTTTCATCATAATTGCCCCTGGGATCCCTTGAGGACTTCCTAGCATAGATAGCTGCTGGTTGGCCGCAACATCACGGATACACGTGTGCCGCCTTGGCCCCTTTTAGCAAAGGTATAGTCAGGAGCTTCGTTAGAAAATGAGGGTGTGGCCTGTGAATGTTTATTTCAATAATTTATTGTGCACCCTTTTATTGTTAACATCCACTATCCTCATTTTTCTAATATTTCTCAAATCTTTTCCTTAACTCTATACCCCTAGTGTATCACTGTACTATCATACTTATTCTCTTTCTCGATATTTCTCATTCCATATTCTTTCTATCAATCAGCATGTCATGATACATGAGTTACAATTTATATAAATTTGTGGATCATAATATATATGATAACACACCTTGTAACACCTTAAATTTAATTTTGATTTAATAATAATTTCACAAATCAGAATAACCAATTTTCATAAAATACTTCAAAATAAGAGAAGGGTTACAAATTAATATCAAATGACTGCTACAAGACTAGTTTAGTTACAATAATTTCAAAATAAAAGCTAAGTCCTATAACAGTCCATCCATCCCTTCACTGAGTCCGATGCTGATCGTCTTGATTACCTGAAAAATGAATGTAAGGGTGAATACTCTACACTACCCAAAAGCACATAATCAACGTAGAATCTCACCTCCAGAACATTTTCAATACATTAAATAAATACAATCATAAGTAACATTATCACACAGCTCAGGTTAATTTAACACCGATGCACTCACGACATCGGCATCATTTTTATATCCATAAGTACAACACATAAACTCATGCACATGCACGTCAGCCATACTCACGGTGGCACTGTGATCACTGATTTACACCATGAATGGTCATCGGTTACTCTCGCCTCACAGATACCACGTGGGCCGTCATGGGTCGCTCAACATAGATAGTAGTCAGAGGTCTAGTCAGGAAGAGAGTGTGTGGCCCGTGGTGCACCCATTTCACAATCGGTATCACTACCACTCCCTCTTCCCCAAGATATTTCTACCGTCCTCATCTCCCACATTCTCAGTGTATCGCTAAACCATTCACAACACATTACCACAACGCTAACACGCCCATTCATACATATTTCATTCACGCATGCAATAGTTATACTTACACACGGCACACAGCCCACATCTCATTTCACAGCACACGACACATAGCCTACAATGATCGTTCATATTACACGGTCCTTGGACCCACATTTCCACAACATTCATTTAAATACACGGCACAAAAGCCTATACCCATTCACAACACTCGGCATGCATGCCCTCATTCTATCATACAAAATTTACATACAATCTATCAATTTCGGGTCAACACATATAATGTTCACACATCATGGCACATGGTCCACATTACATTTCTCAGCAATTTTTTATCCACTTACTCAGCCACAACACAATATTCTGCAAAATAACAATAATTCATGCACAAAAGAGTAGGATAGAGTCCCTCCTTACCTTGGATT